GGGCCCTGGGGGAGACTCGCCCCGACTCGGACTTCCAAGATCTCGTGGGCGTGGGCGGCCTGGGAACTGCGAAAGTCGCCGAGGAGCTGCGTGGCGAGCGGCGCAGGGCCATCGACATGAGCAATTTGTGCGCCCGGGGCCGCTTCGAATCCAGAGGCTGAGGCATCATCGCACGCGATGGAGGCGACAGCGATGTCGTGAACTACGTGGCCAGAAGGGGCGCCGACAAGGAGGCCCTGTCATCCGAGGCCGACCAGAAGACAGACGCGAAGATGACGGGCTTGAGCAAGAAGATCACCGACCGCAGGGGCGAGAAGGCGAAGAGGTTTCGCCGCGTGGACGTCTACAACGAGGCCCTCGAGGAGTGCGTCAACCGCCTTGAGCTACCTGGAGGGGCCCCGAGGGTGTGGGTGCCATCCGACTCGGCACCGAATGTTTATCGCCTCAAAACGCACATTGCACTCCTCATGGCTGCGGCCCAGAAGCTCGCTGGAAATTTGTCGGTTGGACCAGGGGCCCACCAGGGTGCATGATGCTGAAATTGGTTCGCTGCGCCGTCGGCAGAGGATCATTTAGCTGCAGGAGGCGGGAGATGGGCCTCGAGCTGAAATTCAACGGGCCAAGCTGCAGCGGTACTTCGATCTGCGTCAGACCAAGACGGCGCTGATCGAGCAGCGCGGCGAGGCGGGGGCGGGACTCGTGTGCGCTCGACGTCAGCCCGAGGGGTTGAAGCACAATGTGTTCGACGCAGAGATTGCGAACCCTGCGGATTGCGCTGAGGGGCTTCTGACCATCCTCTACAAGTTCGCGGTGCGTTCGGAGATGCAGCGCGTCCAGCGTGCGAGAGTGAGCCAGCTGGCGCAGTCCTCTTTCTATTTCCATGCCCGGGCTTCTTGGATCCGCTATTTCGGGAGGCAGCTGCGGAATCGACTCCGCAGGATAAAGTGCGCCGTGAGCGACGAGAGAAGCAATGTGAGCATGCTGGCGGACCTGGAAGAAGCAGTGGGCGCGCCGGAAGGGATCCGAGAACCCGCCGAGAAAAACCTAGGCCGCGCGCCCTATTATCCAAGCAGCGAGGGATAAATACCCGAGGCGCCGGCAGAACAGGAAGGCCAAGCGCCGGACCGAGCAGTCCGAGGAGGTCGAGGACGAGGGCTCGAACGAAGGGCGACGACGAACAATGATAATATATCGCTCAGGAGGGAGAGCCCCGTGATGGACAACCTTGTACAGCATCAGGTGGCCATCTACGGCGGCAATTTCCCATGGCAGTGCGAGGCGCCCTCCGAAGGCTACGTGGAGAGGGAGCGCATTGCCGTGGCGCCGGCCAGAACATGAGAGAAAAATCAAGAAGAGCCCGAGACGACTCCAGAGACACCAGAGGGCGAAGCTCCAACGGCGAGAGGAAACGAGAGACCTGCGACCGGAGTACAGCGTCCTCGCGTCAACGTTTACCTCGCTGACCACGCGGCCCAGGAGAGCAAGCCACTCCTCTCAAGGCCGAAGTGCGTCGGGACCGTCGGTGTCTACGTCCTTTTCCCCGACGATTACAACGACGTTAGCGTCCTGATCCATCGTCAAAGCTCCGAGGTGAGGAACTCGAATGCGGTCGCCACTCCAGGGCGACAAGTCGATCGGACAGATAAAAAAGTTGCTCGCGAGCGGAACCTGGACTTCGATTGCGCTGCCAGGTGCGCGGCAAGTCGGGGGCTTGGCGAAGAAGCGGCACTGCGCGTCCCTCTGAACGACCCGATGGAGATTCCATTCGACAAGACAACGACCCCACCTCACAATAACTTCGAGTTCTTTTACTTGGGACAACCCGAGGTGAAGGGGCCGCAGTATGGTTCTCGTACTGAGGTGATATATCAGGGTGTTCAGAACTTGGGATACCCTGCCAGAGATGACTACCATGCCTGGGTCAACATTGACGACCTCGTCGCGCTACCAGACCCCGTGCCAGCATGTGAGCAGCCTTTGCTCTACATCACCGATGTGGAGAAGGAGAGGGTCCCGCATATGAAGCAAGACATGGTGAAGCAAACGGTGGCGATGAAGGGCGATCCACCTGGGCTCCAAAGGAGTGGCCGCTGGCCTGCCGATGATGAGATCTACTACCTGGCATTGAAGAGCCGTGCTCAGCCGAGCGCTCGGGATCCGAACCTCGACGAGACCTTCAACGATCCCATGTCGGAGATGATGGCCGTGCATCATTAATATCCGAGACAGCCTACTTTTCGTATCTGGCTGACATTGTTGACGCAAATGCCACTCGACATTGCCCTGGGTCTGATTGAACCGTGCAATGCGTATGAGTGCGGGATCCTGCAGAGCTACCTGAAGACAGGAGACGAGAGCGGTGATTACGAGGCCCTCTACGCGTTTTTCCAATGTGTGCACAGACGCAGAGATCCAGGGCCTTTCTGGCCCTCGACCCGTGTCAGATCTCGTCGCCGCGCCATGTGGTGACGTGCCTGGCGGGGCACCTGCAGCGCTGGCCATCCCGGCGTGCGCTGTGACGACCCCCCGACGATCGGCGCGCGCTTTTGGCGCCCCCCTCAGGAGGGGAAGCAGTTTATTATCGACAGCTGGGGGATGGCTGGTGGAAGAGGGTGAGAAGGCCATCGAGGACATCTTGGACCAGATCAAGATCCTCGGCGAGACCGTCGGGGGAGAAGAGATGGCACCCAAGTTGGCGAACCTCGGCGAGTTGAACGGTGCTGTGGGGATTTCTCGAAGGATTCGTCGCGAACCTTCCAATGGGCGGAACCGTCTCCGATGCCATGCAGGCTATGGTGACTATTGATCGCTGCGCCGCTGCTCCAGGATTGGAAAAACCTCCAGCGGAGAAGGGCGAGGTCTTTCTTGGGCCTGGAGACAAGTATATCAGCGCCCACTGGGAGAAGGCCTACAAGCTGTCCAGGAAGAACAAGTATGTCTTCAAGCAGATTATGAGCGACCGCCGGAAGATGTGTCATAAGGTCGACGTGGCGAGGGGTCACCTACTCGGCGCCCTCCATCATTATGACTGTTGTGGCCACGTGGAGATCCTAGTTCCCCGTGGAATTCCATTTTGCCCGCGATCATCTCTCAGGACTCATCGATGGTCATCCTGTCAGAGGGCTAAATGCATATCCAACAGGACAGTGGTGGATTGTGGAGATGGTGCCGATGTGCGCTAGGGAGATACAGCAGGACAAGGAAATCAACAAGAAGGAGACCCAGATCGAGAGTGCCTACCACGGTGCCAACTCGGCAGCGCTGGCATCTATCTGGAGCAAGAAAGGACTGTTCGAGTTGAAACCAGGACCTTCGAACTGCGAAAACGTTTGCGACGTTTCCTGCGACAGTGCACTTCGCCTCGCCTCCATGCGCCCGCTGCGTTGCCGAGGTGCAGGTGGATCGCAGCCGTCGTGCAGGGTATCCCAAGATGCATGTCCACAGGCAGTGGTGCCGGACCGAAGGCAGCGTCTACGTCAATGCGCTCTGGATTAGGTGGGTGAGGGAGAGATTTTGGGCAAGCTACAAGCGAAGGAGCAAGCTTTTGGATGGTGCAGGGTCAGGAGTCGCACGTTCGGGATGTGCCTCGCGGCAAAGGCCATCCCGACGGCTTTGCCGAGTGTCCATGCGTACTCAAACGAGGCGAGCGAGGACCCCGACTTCCCGATTCTCGAGGCCAAGCTGGTTCCCAAGGGCGAGAAATGGGTTCCGCAGTGGACCAGGGATCTCCATGCGGCAGGTCGTTTTTCTGGAACGCGCTGGCCAACAGTGCGACCCGCGCTGAATCGAGCCACGGTGTTTCGTGGATCCGATGGGGCAGGCTACGGACGCAACGAACATCATGGGCCCCAGGTCGGGCAATCTTTTCAAGGACCCTTCCAAGAGATGCCCTCGAGTCCTACGTGCTCATGGAGCTGTGCCAGCTGCGCGCTGCCCAGGCTCTGGTAGAACGTGGAATGCTATGGTATCTACTGTGCGAGGGATTTCACGTTCAGAGGCGAGGCGGCGTTTCGGCTGCAAGAAAGGTAGGAACTGTGGTTATCATGCCCCTGTCAGCCTCTCCAACTCTGACGCCTCTCTCTGCGCTCCCTTGTGCGCAACAATGTCGGCTATCAAGGACCCTTGAGCTATTGTGGCGCGCCCGTGGCGGAGGCGCCAACATCATCAAAACCATCACCATCATCGTCATCAGCATTGTCAGTGCCATCATATGGTCAGCATCCGCATCATCATCAGCACCATCACCACTATCGTAGTCATCATTTTGTCCGTCATCATTCTTTCCATTAGCATCAGTACCATCATCACCACCATCTCCATTTACGATTGTCATCGTTATCATCATTTTCATCATCATCGTCACCGTCACCATCGTCATCATCATCACCATCATTGTCATCATCATCGTCATCATCACCACCGCCCCCATCATCACCATCATCATCAGTATCATCATCATCATCATCATCATCATCATCACCGCCATCATCACAATCATTGCCATCACCATCATCATCATCGTCATCATCATCAGCTCAACCTTCTCATCATCATCAACATGATCATCCTTGTCCTTCCCCTCCTCATCATAATCGTCACCATCGCCATCGTCATCGTCATTCTTCTCACCATCATCGTCGTCATCATCATCACGTCGTTGTCGTCGTTCTCGTCAGTGTTCTCAGCATTCATCATGATCCTGATCGTCCCCCTGACCCCCCTCCCCGCCTCTTGCTTTCCGCGTGTATGGGTGCACACGGCGCTTGATAGAGAGCGCCACGCGAGCGTTCGGCGATACGAAGGCGGTCCGCCGCGCTCCAGAGTTCAGACTCAGTCTCTTGACTCATGCTCATGCACGTGGGCGGCAGCATCGGCGTCGGTGTGGTCGTGCTCGTGGTCCCTGCTGTTTTGCTCGGGACCTGGTTTCCCCCGTGCGGCGACCACCACCACTCTGCACGTGGCCAGGTGCGTGCGTCCTCTGTGGGGTTCCCGTGCCGAAGGCTGACGTGCCAAGACCTGGACCACCAGTGGGAGACGCGCAGCAAGACCCGCGCGGAGGAGACCAAGGCCTCTTCGGCGCCCCCTCCCAGTCGTGCTCAGGGGGGAGGTTTTCGGACATTTTCGTCGGTTCTCAGCGGTTCTCCAGCCTCGGGATGCATTCCTGCATCCGCGCCTCGCCGGGGGTCGTTCCGAGTGTGCCCGGAACTTCCCGATCGGCCGCCGAAGAGACCCGAGTTGTGGCCCGAATGCCACCAGGGGCAACGTTAGGGGCGGACTGGCCCAGGGGGGACACATCGCCAATCGTCCACGCACAGGTTCGCGAGCTCGGGGCTCGAGGCGGCCTCCCGCATTTCGGTGGGCAGGAGGAGGAGGAGGAGGAGGAGGAGGAGGAGGAGGAGGAGGAGGAGGAGGAGGAGGAGGAAGAGCCCCCTAGCATACACTGATCGCCAATCGGTGCCCGGGTGCCCGACCCCCAGCCAGCAGGGTGTGGTTTCGCTATCGGGGGGCCCCATGTCGGCGATCCAACGGCGATGGATCGCAAATGTCAAGGCAATGTTCCCCCCCGAGCCCAATCTAAGTCGGGCATGTCCCTCGACAGGGGGAAGACTCTCACAAATAGTCAAATTTTAAACTATATAGCACCCCGCAATTGCGGATAAGAGTGAGGGGGCGGGCGCGGGCGACGCGGGCGTTGTCGAGCCGGCGGACCTCGTGGCCCCCACCTTCCCTGTCGATGGCGATCTTCTCCTCCTCCTCCTCCTCCTCCTCATCCTCGTCCTCATCGTCATCGTCCTCCTCCTCCTCCTCCCTCCTCCTCCTCCTCCTGTTCTTCCTCGTCCTCCCTCTCCCTCCCTCGTCCTTTCATCATCGTCCTCCCATCGTCCTCCTCCCCCTCATCGGCCTCCATCATCGTCCTCCATTGTCGTCCATCATCATCATCATCCCCCTCCTCCCCCTCCTCGTCCTCCTGCTCCTCCTCCTTCTCTCTCCACATTATCCTTACATCCTCTCTTCTGCCGCGTTCTCCTCGTCCCCTGTTTACTCCTCCTGCCTCCCCCTCCTTTCCCAAGATAACTGCAACGCAGTCCTTTTTCCACTTTATGCTTCCCGCCTTCTCTGATCAAGGCAACTCGCCAGGGCAAAGTTGCTGGACGGGCTGGTGTGGATGCGCGGGGCTTGAAGAGGTCCTTGCGGGCTCAGACGGCATGCGAAAATCCGCCGCCGCGTTTGTGCGGCATTGGTTTGTTCAGTGAACGTGGTTTAGGTCGCGGGTGGGTCGCGGGCTCTCCACCTCCACCTGGAAGGAATGCAAAAGCAACCCGCCGCAGGCGCCAACAACATTGGTTTGTACACTGAACGTGGTTTGGGTCGCGGGTGGGCCGCGGGTTCTCCACCGGGAACGAATGCAAAAGATGCCCGCCGCAGGCGCCGAAAAATGTAGTTTGTACCCTGAACGTGGTCGCGGATGGCCCGCGGGCTCTCCACCTGAAACGAATGCAAAAGATGCCCGCCGCAGGCGCCGAAAAATGTGGTTTGTACCCTGAACGTGGTTTGGATCGCGGGTTGGTCGCGAGTTGGTCACGGGGTGGGTCGCGGGCTCTCCACCTGGAAGGGATGCAAAAAAAGCCCGCCGCAGGCGTCGAAAATGGTGGTTTGTACCTTCAACGTGGTTTGGGTCGAAGGTGGGTCGCGGGTGGGTCGCGGGGTGGGTCGCGGGTGGGTCGCGGGTGGGTCGCGGGTCGCGGTCGCGGGTGGGTCGCGCGGGGTGGGTCGCGGGGTCGCGGGGGGGTCGCGGGGTGGGTCGCGGGGTGGGTGGGTCGCGGGGTGGGTCGCGGGTGGGTCGCGGGGGGTCGCGGTCGCGGGGTGGGTCGGGGGTGGGTCGCGGGTGGGTCGCGGGGTGGGTCGGGTGGGTCGCGGGGTGGGTCGCGGGGTGGGTCGCGGGGTGGGTCGCGGGGTGGGTCGCGGGGTGGGTCGCGGGGTGGGTCGCGGGTGGGTCGCGGGGTGGGTCGCGGGTTGGGTCGCGGGTGGGTCGCGGGGCGGGTTGCGGGTGGGACGACGACAACAAACAACAACGAACAACGAACAACGAACAACGAACAACGACAACGACAACAACAACAACAACAACAACAACACCAACAACAACAACAACAACAACAACAACAACACCACCAACAACAACAACAATAACACCAACAACAACAACAACAAACAACACCAACAACAACAACAACAACAGCAACAGCAGCAACAACAACAACAACAGCAACAACAAACAACAACAACAACAACGAGAATCCGCACCGCGGAATTCCACTTCAGCCACGCACCCAGGGACAGTGATTGACCGTTCGGCCCCCTCACTCCGATTTTAGATTTTTCGTCCAAAATCCGCCTGTAGGGGGAAATGCCCGACCAAATCCAATCCCCCGTTTTCTTCCCCCTTCACGTGCTCGGGTCGTGAGGGGTGCCCAGGAAGAGCGGGATGGGGAGGGGGGCGGAGGCGGAAACCGAGTTGGAGGGGGGGGAGGCTCAGCGAGATCGCTCGAAGGGAGAAGAGCAAGAAGAGCGAAAGGGATGATGATGATGATGATGATGATGATGATGATGATGATGATGATGATGATGATGATGATGATGATGATGATGATGATGATGATGATGATGATGATGATGCTGATGATGATGATGGTGATGATGATGATGATGATGATGATGCGGATGATGTTGATGATGCTGATGATGAGGATCACGATTATGATGCTGATGATGATGATGCGGATGCTGATGCTGATGATTATTATGATGATGGTGATGATGATGATGCTGATGATGATGATGATGATGATGATGATGATGATGATGATGATCGTGCTGGCCAGAGAAGATCATCGAGAACTAAATCGCAAATCGATGTGACTGCAACCCGCTTGACTTTTGACTCGCGTGCTCCAGCGGGGACCACCGGCAACAGTCAGATACTAAATAGTTATGGAAGTCTGACCACTTTCCAGTTCATGGTGCAATGACGCTTCCAAATCACGGTTTAATTTTTTAGTAAGGTCAGAACACGCGGGTGCACGCCGAAAGCTGCAGCATTGGAAACCAGATGCCGTCAGTCAGGCGCTGTATTGGAGTAACACTTACAGACGTTATCAGCATGGTGGGAGCCTCTCTGATTATGTTGACTGTGTCCGGCAGGCTGCTTTCCCAACCATCGAGGCGACCACCGACAGCGGTGGCATACAACACACATTCCAGGAAGATGTGCTGATCTTTGATGCGGCCATAGGGGCCCGTAAAAGAAGGAATATGGAGGGACAGACTCTGGGAAGGTCGAATTCGTCTTCAAGTCAGTTTGGCAAAAGAAAGTAAAATAAGCAATACTCGTGAACTTTGTTGAAAAGGTCAAGATCGTAAATGCTGCGCCGCCTGTGGTTTTGTGTTTGCGAGGGGAGCAAACATCAGATAGGTCGACTTGGAAAGAAGGATTGCTCAAGATTGGGGTCCAGAAGTTCACGACGGACGCGCGGCTCACAAAGCGGCCTTTGATCGAGCAGCGGGTCTTCTCAGCACGGAGGCAATGGATAGAGCTTTTGACGGTGCACCTTAGGGGACTCTTTCCGTGGACGTGTTCCTGGAACAGCTGATCGCGGATCACAGCAAACCCTGCGCAGATTAAGTACCCGGCATAGCGTGGAGGCATGCGCCAAATTTCATGAACATGCATTTGTACCAGCTCTTAGTCGAACATTTTACGGATGTCAAGTGGTCCACTGGTGCTTTGGATTCGTGGGTAATTTGGAATTTGTTGGTATAAGGAACTTGTATACCCAAAGATTTTGGAGATTTCAGGTGGTTGAGTATAATGGGCCAACTTTTCAAGTTATATTGTGCCACGGTCTATGGTGCGGCTGCTCCTGTCTTGAGGCCATTGTCTCGTGCCAGAAGCTACGGATACCGCAAAGGGGCCACGGTGGACGACTGTTTCGGTGTCCTTTTTTTGAAGTTGTGCCATTCGCGTCTAAATGGGGCTTGCCTTTCTGGTACAGACGTTAAGACCGCATTCGGATCTGTGGAACATGTGGATGCGATTACGGCTCTCCCGGATGATGGGGCATCCCCGCACCAGATATTGTCTAGTGCTCGAGAGATGCAAGATAAACGAGCTAGCTTGAGTGTCTCAGGCGTAGCGAATACGGAGACTGTTGAGATGACGAAGGCCTTCGAGACGAGAGGGCGTATAGCACCGCAGATTTTCATCCGAATATTTTATGCTGTCCTGGATCACTTGGAGGCGGAATGGGAGTCCGCAGGTTTAGGATTCATATTGCCAGATTCCTCCACGCGCCTAGCGTCGGTTACTTGGGTCGACAATAACTACATCATGGCAGCAAGTGTGCAGCAATTTGAGTTTATGAGCCGCAGCTTGAATAATGCATATTTTTTTGGGGGATATACTGTTGGAGAGGGAAGCCATCATCCGTGGAAGTTTTGTCTGTGAATGCTTCCGCGCCGGCCTCTGGAAAATTATGCTTCGAAGCACAGGGTGACGTCATGACGTACTCCGTGGTGGACTCCATGATTGCTCTGGGTGGCGTCCTGGACCCAGCTTGCCCAGATAGGGCGCCTGCGGCACCGCTCTAGTAAAGGAGAGTCGAGTTACCGTAGTTTGCGAAGACATTTGGTGGGCAAGCGCCAGTCTCCCTGAAATTACAAGCATGGACTACGCGACCGCGGGCGTCGGCTCTGTTTCTCACACCTCTGTTACACAGGACACGGGCCTTCTGATGGAAACCATCAGATGGGAACGGATGCACTTGAGGCGAGTATTCCGGATGAAACGCTTAGATGATGAATGACAGATGCATTACAACCGGCGTATTCTTAGCACATTGGAGAGATGTTATGATTTATATGGTTTTCTCCCTATTCATGTTGTAATGTTGGAGCGGATCTACGGGAATTTCCATCGCGAGGAAGGCTACGGTTCGCTTGCGTCGGCGGTGCGGCGCGAACGGGATGCAGCTTGGTGGGAATGCTATAGAGGCGTCAGCGCAAACCAGAGAAAATGGCAGTCGGAAGACCTTGTACATGCCCGCAGGAGCATGTGGACGTGTGTGGACGACCTCATGGTACAAGTTTGGGGCTTGCACTGGAGGCCAGTATACACCGTAGGCGATGCTTAAGAAAACCTAAGTTTTCGTTCTTAATTTTCCAATGTAAATCCCAAGATTTTGATAGAAGTTCTGGGTTTTATCCACTTTCTGAGACTATGAATTTCTGAAACCATGATTTCTTAAGCATTTCGCAGGGTGTATACAAGCAGCACGCCGCTGAGCACTCAAGGGTCGAAGGGCGCAGGATCAAGGTGCAGAGTGCGTGCGCTGCATTCCATTAGTCAAAGCCGCCAGCGTTTTACGTGGAAGGTGGTCTTACCAGGACGGACACGAACGAAGAGGGCTATCTTGAAGGGCAGCGGTCTCTTGAAGGGCAGCGGTCTCCTGGATAGCCCTCTTGCCAGGTCTTACCAGGATAGCCCTCTTGAAGGGCAGCGGTCTCCTCCTCCTCCCCCCTTGCCTCTTTGCCGTGGAAAAAAAAGGACGAACACGAACGAAGATCTTGTTCCTGAGTCTGACTTGCAGGACTTGCCAATGCCGCCAGCGTTGGGCCGGGATGCTTTGTTTCACCACCATGCTTCGAAGCGGGTGCAGCTGGAATCTGTCATGGACAAGGCCGGTGTGGTTGGCCGCGCCAACTCCTCCACGCAGGCCATGGCGAGCAGCTTGCACGAAAAGGCGGTGCATCAGGTGAGACGGGACCTATGGAGCATCTTCAGCTGATGATGATGATGATGATGATGATGATGATAACGATGAGGATGAGGATGAGGATGAGGATGATGCTGCTGATGATGACCATGCTGATGATGATGCTGATGATGATGATGTTTCTGATGATGACGATGATGATGATGATGATGACGACGATGATGATGATGATGCTGCTGCTGATGATGATGATTACGATGATGATGATGATGATTATGATGATGACGATGATGATGATGATGATGATGATGATGAAGATGATGATGATGATGATGATGATGATGATGATGATGATGATGATGATGATGATGATGATGATGATGATGATGATGATGATGATGATGATGATGATGATGGTGATGCTGATGATGATGA